GCTCGTCGGGCGGCTCGGGTCTCGGCTCCAGCGCCGGCGCTTGGCGCCGACGCGGGCCGGCGCGCGCGACGACCCGGGCTTGGCCCGTGCCGCCGGCGCGCCTTCCGCCAGTCCTTCGAGTCGGCTTGGCCGACCCGTCGGGCGGCTAGGTCTCGGCTCCGCCGCCGGCGCTTGGCACCGACGAGGGCCGTCGCGCGTAGCGTCCCGGGCTTGGCCCGTGCCGCCGGCGCGACCCTCCAAAAATCCGTCAGCATCTTGCTGGGCACCAGGTCCACCTCGTCCATGAGCCTCGCGTCCGATGCGAGCCGGCTTGGCCGGCCCGTCGCGCGGTTCGGCCCCGGCCTCAGCGTCCCAGCGCCGGCGCCGTCTCCGCGTCCGCCTTGGGCGGCCGCGTTTCCAAAAATCCGTCAGCATCTTGCTGGGCACCAGGTTCACCTCGTCCACGGGCACGCGGGGCGCGGCGACCGGAGCCGCGGTGGGCTGCGCCACCGACACGTCCAACCCAGCGTTCCGCACGTCCAGCGCCGCCGCGAACCGCGGCTCACGGCCGCGTCCGTCGTCCCCGCGCGCACCATGCCCTCGGCGCGCGGCAGCCAGTCGATGGGCAGCCGGAACTCGGCGCCCCCCGCACCGAATCGGACGGGGTCTTCGAGCGCTGCGCCCCGAGCGGGGCCCGCAGGCGCGCGGCGCCGAAGCGCACGTCGAAATCGACCGGAGACTCGCCCCGCGGCAGCCCCTCGATGGCACACCATCGCGCCGCCTCACAGCCATTCGCTACTCTCTCTACCCATTAAAAACCGGATCGTTGAATTTAGGGTAAAAGTCAGGGCTGCGCGCGCGATGTGCTCGCGCGCCCGCGGTCGCGCGCCCCGCGTAGGGGTCGAGGGCCGCCACCGCCGGCTTCATCATGATTTGGGGTGGGCAAAAAATGCCATCGGCTCGTCCAAACGACCGACATGGGCCTCAGACAGGCCGCTTCGGGCTGCCCATCGTCTCCCAACAGCTCGGCGGTCAAAGTCGTCTGAGCCAATCACAGAGCTGGATTCGACGACTTTTACCTTTACTCAACAAGGGCTTGCGATCAACGATCCGGTTTTTAATAAGTAGATTGCGTCTCTCTGTTCCTTCAATTATGGGCTCCGCCGCCCTGCTTTTTTTAGCTATTTTGTGGCGTAGCGACGCCTACCCAGCGATTTGCTCAGAGAACAGCGCGGTGCTGAATCCGCGCGTCGCTGCCGCGAGATTCAACGATTCTACTGCGTGGATCCCGCGAGGCCGAGTGGGACTCGAGACGTACGCCGAGGTCGCCGGCTCCCTTGCTATGGACGAGTTCGGGTACGAGCCCGTGCTGGTCGTCACGTCCAACGCCGCGACAGCTCTCGGAGTCGCCTTGCACGGCCCATCGAAGCTCTCATTTTCCGTCGGAGCGGGCCTGCGGCTGGCCCGCACGAATGAGATGCCGTCTGTGTGTTCGGGCCAGACCATCGACACGCTGTCACAGAGTCCGTCCTGGGCGCCTACGTCGAGCGCAGCGCCCTCAGCAACATTCGCACCTACTACGGCGATGCCGACTCCCGCGCTGACTTTGAACGAAACTACCGCTGTCTTCCAGAAAGTTTGCTCCGCGGACAGCAGCGCGGTGCTGGATCCACGTCAGGCCGTTGGATGGTTCGACGATCCTACCGCGTGGATCCCACGAGGGGAAGTGGGACTCGAGAAGTACGCTGAAGTCGCCGGAGCTCTGGCAGCTCACGAGTTCGGGTATGAATCCGTCCTCGCCATCGCGTCCGATAATGATGCGAGTGCGCTCGGGGTCGTGCTACATGGTCCATCGAAGCTGGCCTTTTCTGTCGGAGCGGGGCTGCGGCTGTCGCGCACAAAGGAGGCGCCGAAAACGTGCTCAGACCAAGCAATTAAAACGCTGACACAGAGTCCGTCTTGGAGTCCGAGCGCGGCTCCTTCAACCGCTCCGCCATCATCGAGCCCTTCCAGGGGACCGACGGTGGCTCCCGTCTTCCCGCCGTCTTTGGCCCCGTCGTTCGCCCCCACGCTCGCCCCGACGGCCTCCTTCCTGCGCATCACGAGCATCGGCTCCGGCTCGACCTGCGTCTCCGACGTCGAGTGCGAGGTCCTCTGGGTCTACCGCGGCGACCCCGGCGCCTGCGCGACCGTGGACGTCGAGGTCTCGGCCGCGGACGGGACCGTCGTCCGAGCGGAGACGACGGAGAACGACGGCCAGCAGATGAAGGTCGTCTCCGGCGACGCGGAGGTCAACGAGTACACGCTGACGCTGACGTGCTCGGACGACGCGAGGCTCGCGGACTCGATCGAGTTCGAGGTGTCTTTCACGCCCGCGCCGACGCCCCAGCCGACGCCCGAGCCGACGCCTGTTCCGTCGACCCCGCCGTCTCCTTGTCCGACGCCCAGGCCGAGCAACATGCCGACGAGCTCGGTACCGTCCGCCGCCCCCTCTGCCGGTCCATCACCCATGCCGAGCCTCTCGTGCGCGGCCGGCGTCTCTGTCTACCGCGTTCGCCTCAGCGGGAGCCGCGCGACGCTGGTGATCGAGTCGCTGGACGACGGGGCGGTGGTTGCTACCACAACGCTCGAGGACGAGGAGGTCTCCGCGACACAATTTGTGTGCCTGCCCGACAGCTGCTACGAGGTTCGCCTCGAAGGGGGGGACGACGCGGATGCGGACGCCAACGCCGTGTTTGTGGACGAGGGCTTGCACCACTTCACGTGCCCGAATGTCGGCTGCGCGGAACACGTCTGCGTGGAAGGAGGCAACATGTACGATAGACCGACGGCAACCCCGTCTACGCCGAGCCCGACGGCATCGCCGTCAAACTATCCGAGCCCAGCTCCAGCGCCGGGACCAACGTCTTTGCCGAGCGAGAGGCCCACCATGAGCCCTACCGCAACGCCATCGAGCCTGCCGACGCCAGCACCAGCTCCAAGCCCGACCAGCGCGCCATCGAGTCTGCCCACGCCCATCCCTCGCCTGCTTCCGACCTCGCAGCAGACGGCAACTCCTACCACAGTCCCCAAGACGTCAACCCCAATGTACCTTCCGACGAAGCGCCCGTCGACCTACGAACCCACGACGGCTTCGCCGAGCACGACCAGCCCGACATACGAGCCGACGGCGTCGCTGTACCTTCCGACGAAGCGCCCGTCGACCTACGAACCCACGACGGCTCCGCCGAGCGCGACCAGCCCGACATACGAGCCGACGGCGTCGCTGTACCTTCCGACGAAGCGCCCGTCGACCTACGAACCCACGACGGCTTCGCCGAGCGCGACCAGCCCGACATACGAGCCGACGGCGTCGCTGTACCTTCCGACGAAGCGCCCGTCGACCTACGAACCCACGACGGCTTCGCCGAGCACGAGCAGCCCGACATACGAGCCGACGACCCCAATGTACCTTCCGACGAAGCGCCCGTCGACCTACGAACCCACGACGGCTTCGCCGAGCGCGACCAGCCCGACATACGAGCCGACGACCCCAATGTACCTTCCGACGAAGCGCCCGTCGACCTACGAACCCACGACGGCTTCGCCGAGCACGAGCAGCCCGACATACGAGCCGACGACCCCAATGTACCTTCCGACGAAGCGCCCGTCGACCTACGAACCCACGACGGCTTCGCCGAGCGCGACCAGCCCGACATACGAGCCGACGACCCCAATGTACCTTCCGACGAAGCGCCCGTCGACCTACGAACCCACGACGGCTTCGCCGAGCGCGACCAGCCCGACATACGAGCCGACGGCGTCGCTGTATTTTCCGACGAAGCGCCCGTCGACGTACGAGCCCACGCAGTCCGCACACCCAAGCTCGGTGCTTTCGTTCAGCACGGCCGGTCGAGAACGAGAACGCCATTTCATGGAAACATCATCAATTTGGCTGATATTGGGGAGTCTAATGCTCGCATGCCCGTGTATCTACCGCGTGGTTCGCCCTCGGAAACGCCGGCGACCGCCGACACCCACGCTGACAGCGAAAACAAGTCCCGTCGGTCGATTCCTAACGCCGCGAGGCAGCGTCCGCGAAGAAATCGGCGCCCTCGAGATGACAAAGACCTCGCCACGAGATGGCGG